TTATTATTATTATTATTATTATTATTATTATTATTATTATTTTAATTTATAAGATGGGTCAGTTTTATCAGTGTTAAATGAGTCATAATGGACGACAGGTCCTCATACTTTCATTGCAACAAGGGGTTCGTCAACATTAGAAGAATTCTCTGATACATTTAAGTCATCCAAAATATTTCTTTTAATTATTTTATTTATCTTCGAAGTTGAAGGCTGATTACTGCTAACTGAATTGTCTGGTGGATTAGTTTCTTGTATATTTGTCTATAAAAAAAATTAATTACCATCAATAATATTAATTCAAATATATATAACAATTTAAGTCTAACTGCTAAATCAGTTTGTAACCAATGAAACAAACAAAATAAGTTCGAGATTGAATTACTAACTTTGAATCATTTTGACTAGCTACTAAGTAATGAATCAGTTTTTTGTAATTATTCCTTAACAAATCAATAAATGAATATACGTGATTTTATGTTAGCATGTCCAATCCGTGAACTGTTACTGAGAGGGAAGCAATTTTTGTGACTCGAAATGTGATAATTTTGATAATTAAATTTAATTAATTTGAAAATTCATAACAAAATGCTTACAAATCGCCCCATGCTGATGAGAAAAAGTCGTCCTGCTTCAGATTTACTCACAACCATGTACAGAAAAGGTGTATCAAATATTATCTCCGCATGCATATCTGAATTTTTGCATAAATTTATAACATTTTTACATTTGAAATAAAAATAGACCAATTTAATTACTAATACAACTCATCTCATTTTATTTAATAACTTTGGTATTATTTATGCTAACAGTTATTGGCAGATTTAGACTTATTCATTACTTCACATTCATAACAGTTTAATTCAAACTTTTATTTTTTAATTAATTGATAATTTTAACTTGTCTTTAATCTATTAATTTCAGTATATCACGAAAATTAATAATGAAAGCTAATTTTTGATTTTAAGTACTAACCTTATAAAAATCAAACATTTGACTAATTAAGCTGGATAATTAAGTTTATAAAATTGCTGATTTCATTTTTGAAATGCTGTTTTAATGCCAAAAATTTGCCTTTAGCTTCGGTATCGTTGCTAACGAAGTACGGGCTTCTACTTTGTGCTTCATCAGATCCAGTCATAATAATATCACTCTTATCAGCTAATGGCATTTCTGGTTTCGTCAACAGTATCGAAACTAATGTTTTCATACTTATATTATATATTTTATAATTGAATATATTGTTCTATTAATTATTCATACCTTCATTAATAATTATAAATTGATTATTGCTAAAATTTTAAATTAGAAAATGGAAAAATAGCACAAACTACTGATGAATTAGTAATAAATGGAATTGTAAAATAAGATTCAAATGGAAATTTCAATTCAGCTTCAATGAAATGGTTTTCATTCAAATGAGTTGGTAATAATCAAATCAGTTGGTGGTAATCAAATCAGTTGGTGGTAATCAAATCAGTTGGTGGTAATCAAATCAGTTGGTGATAATCAAACCATGTTGAGGTTTCTTTTCCTTTTCATTTTTCAGCTTACTAGTCCGTTGTTTATTTGCTGTCTAAATATTAAGAAGCAATTCTCAAACACTTCGCCAAAGTATTATAAAAATTACAACAATCAGAATCAATATTAAATATACTCGATCGGATATTGTGATAGCTGATATCATTAAAATTTACAGCAGAATTAGTTATTCATTACTGCAAAGATAAGCAAAATTTTTAATTATCAATATGATATCCCTTTTGGAGGGAAAAACTAAAGGTAAAAACAACAGGAAAAAGCATTGTACAGAAAATATTGTTAGGTAATGTTAGGTACTTTTCAGGCCAGTACTAACACTGCAATTATGCCAATCGAAAAATATTCAAATTAAAAGATTCAAAAATTCAACTTTTATTTGTACCATTTTAATATTATCCTCTCCGCCAGCTGCTAAACGTCTCTGAAAACTTTCTGATTCAAAATGAGAAATGACTGATAAAATACAAATAAAGTAGCTATTGTTCTGAAGTAAGTCAAAAATTAATGCAATTATTTAATTAACATTTATTATCGCTAATTATCGCAATACACAAATTCAATCAATAAAGATATTTATTGTTACAAGAAAAGGCAAAAAAGTGAGTGAAAAATTTGCTATAAATTCAAAATTGAAAAACTTTTCATTTTTTGAAAGTTATTGTAAATTATAAAATGAAAAAAATTTGCTATAGCTATTCGTGAAAAGTTAGCAACGAAGGGGTTTTGTGAAAAAGACTAATGCTTGAAAATGAGTAAAGAGTATAGCACAAAATCATGATACATGCATCTGTACATCAAAATAATATATAACTATGATAATTTTATAACTTGAAAAACAATCATAGCAATAACAATACTTATAATGATCGTAGTAATAATATTCTTATCATTAATAATGATAGTTTAATAAACATGGATGATAATTCTAATAATAATAATAATAGCGCAAGTTCACAAAAATTATGATAAGCAGTGAACTTTGAATTCTTTTGTTAATTTATTACTTTCTTAAATGTGTACAAAACTTACAGAATCAGAAACCGAATTTTGTGTTTTCCTGTCATTGTATTCTTCTTCTTCTTCTTCGTCTTCTTCATCTGGTCGAGTTTGTGATTCATTTTTGCGGGCAACTAATTTAGGCAATTTTCTAAATCCTTCGTTTAATTACACTGTTATTATTATTATTATTATTGTTATTGTTATTACTATTGTTATTACTATTATTATTGATATTGTTAGCTATATTATGGAACATTTCACACTTCTTTAAGACATTCTAAACTTTATAAAGTTGCTTTTTTGCAAAATTGTGCTTGGAACCTTTCAATTCGAAAATTTTCATTAGTTAAATTTTGGAAATTAATCGCAGTCTTGTGCAAAAAAAATCGCAAAGAATGTCGTATGTGCTACGAAGTTTTTTTAAATCTGAATAATAATTTAATAAATCAAAAATGAAAAGTTGCTAACAATTAATAATTTATAGCGTTTGCAGTACGAAATTAACTTTTGGTTTTTCGATTACCTACTAGTTTTTTGTTTCACAGATAACTTCTGAGCAACTTTTTTTGATCCTGAAGCTTTTTTCTTGACAATTTTCTGATCTTGTGAATCATTTCTTGAATATGCTTCTTGGCTCTTTGACCTTTGTTTATTGGCACTAGTTTGATTTTTTGGTTCACACAGTTCGTTAGAGCTTAACACATTTTAATTAGAGACAGTTTCTGTTCAAAAATATTTTTTCAATTACGTTTGTTTATACTAATGAAAAAAAGTTATTAAAATCTAGTAATCAAATCAGATTTACAAAAAATTCAAATTTGATTTGTATAATTGCATCAGTAATTAAAGATTGCAAAATATAATTTTTGCTTAAGTTTAAAAAAAAATACGTGAATACGATCTCGTTTTAATAATTGGTCATCGGTAAATTTGTAGCTATAAAAAAAACCTTATTATGAGGTTTTTAGGGCTTATTGATCTAGAATCAGAAAACGAAATAGGTTGATGGTTTTTCTTAACATTCTCGTTATTGCTCTAGAAAATTAAAAATTTTCT